GCTCAGAGGTGTAGGTGACGTGGCTGGGAGGAAGCCACCACTGGGGACGCCAAGGAAGAACAGGGGTTGTTTTCTCAAATTCACCCCAGAGGAAGCTGTGAGGTGTGAGATCAAATCACTGGTTCAAGGGCTCCCGGCTGTCAAGAGTGGCTTTGGCCCAACTGGAGACCTTCTGACACAATCCAGGCTCTCTCTCACCACCCTCCTGGGCTATTTTAAGTCCTGTTGCTTCCAGCTATTTCCTGTGGCTAAAAACAAAAACAAACAAACAAAAGCAGTGATGATGAGAAAACAGTGTACAGAATTTAACATAGTAAATACATAAATAAACAGAGAAAGAAGATGGAGGGAGAAGAGAGCCTGGGCCGAAAGAAAGAGCTGCAGGAGTCCAAAAAGACACAATGTCACGTGCGCTTAAAACCAGTTTAACCCAAGCTGCTCTTTCTCTGTGACCTCTGTGGACGCTGAGAAAGTTTCCATTGGGTTTCCCTGGTTTCTCGCTTGGGCACAGAAGTGATGTCATGATGAAATGAATACTTGAAAAGTGGTTTGGGTACCACGTGGCCCCAGGAATAAGACAAGCATGATGCACAGTGCATCCACATCTGTAGAAATGGAGACCTTTTCTTCTGCTCCCTTTCTACAGTCAGTTGTTGAGATTAAACTCTAAGAGCAATTTTCTTAGTGGAATAAAAATTAGTTTATGTCCTGGAGTGAGAATTTATAAGAGTGTACATTATATAGAAATAAGCAAGTGTAGGTTGAATTCTGGGACATCAGTGAACACCTCACCACTTACAGAGCGACCAAGCCACAAGTCTGTGTTGGTTGCCAACTTCTTCAGAATTCTATCCTACCCAATCACTGCCTCCAACTTAGAATTTGGGGTATTAATTTTGATGTAATGTTCAAGCTGGGATAAAGGAGCACGTCTTCTTCTTCTTTTTTTTTTTTTTTTGTCACTCGTTACCATCCCCTTCTACTATTTTGCACAAATGGCAAGAGCGTTGTACCCAGAATTTAGAAGAATGATGAGTGGTACATTGCAAAAGGTCCTCAGGAAAGTCAGGAGGGTGCGGAGAACCAGCGTTTCCCACATGACCACCGGGAGAGTAAACATCAGATAGCACTGGGGTGATGCACAAATAAAGATTGATACTAATTCCTGTAAAAAAAATGGCTAGTATTGCCAAAATCAAAAGACCCTTGAAGCATTTCACATGAGATGCAATTAAGGACTCCACTGCAGCAAAGTGCCAACTTGCAAACGTTCTTTACCCTGTAACTTTAAACTCGGGGAGCTGTAAATTCAGGGCAGAACAGGCAAATTACTAGAGATGCTTTTATGCATGAAATCTCTGGAGGGATGGAATTGTGTCAAGAATGAGGAGATAGCCGAAATCAACAAAGGAAGAGTTGGTGTAATCATCTGAATATATTAGGAGAAAAAGTTGTAAAAATTATTCAACTAGTTTAGAAAGCATAATTAGGCATTGATGCCACCATTTATTTATTTTATAATTTATTTTTTTAAGTATTTATTTATTTGTTTGCACCAGATCTTAGTTGCAGCAGGCGGGCTCCTTAGTTGCAGCATGTGAACTCTTAGTTGTGGCATGCATGTGGGATCTGGTTCCGTGACCAGGGATTGAACGTGGGCCCCCTGCATTGGGAGTGTGGAGTCTTAACCACTGCACCACGAGGGAAGTCCCGAGGCCTCCATTTATTCACCCCTATAGTTGATTTCGTTTGATGTGGGCAGTGGCTGCCTAGAGAGATATTACAAATAAAACAAAAATTAACAAAATTTTAGTCATCATTTTAGAAAAGATTGCTCTCGTATGACTACTGTATTGAAGAAATGATTTGTTCCAAAGAATTCTAGGTAGACACATGAAAGATAGTTATGTAAATAGATATTTGAGTTGTTTGAATTCATTTTGGGTCCTACAGACCAGTCTGTATTCACTTGAATCATATTGTATGTAGAATCTGATTCCTAAAACAAGAGAAGTCTGACCCCTTGGTTCTGGAAAACTTCCCTAAGTCCTTTCTTATCATCATTTCCTATGCTCCTGAAGATTATGAAACAGAGTTGGCAACCTTCTTGTTAATGCGTTAGCTTTTAGCTGGGGTGGGAGCAAAACAACAACAAATAATAACTCCAGTCTTGTGTTCTAAGGTAATGGTGTGAAGACGATGTCCAGTGAAAACTGAGTAGCATGATGGAAAATGTTATGCTCGGGCTTCCCTGGTGGCGCAGTGGTTGAGAGCCCGCCTGCTGATGCAGGGGACACAGGTTCGTGCCCTGGTCCAGGAAGATCCCACATGCCACGGAGTGGCTGGGCCCGTGAGCCATGGCCGCTGAGCCTGCACGTCCAGAGCCTGTGCTCCACAACGGGAGAGGCCACAACAGTGAGACGCCCGCGTACTGCAAAAAAAAAAAAAAAAGAAAATGTTATGCTCTGACAGGAAGTGCAAAACGCAGGATGCAAACTTGCATCTCCCATGTTCTTGGTAAAATCAGAATGTGTATATCTATGGACAAGAGGGAAATAGGAGCACAGGACATGAAAACACTGTTCACAAACTATCTGTAATATTATGTTGTCTTTATAATTAAGATGTATTGGAAAAACTAGGTACTTTGAACGTCCCCACATCCACAGATACAAATAGAGATCACAGATGACAAAATATAAATCACAAATGTAGGAATCTCACACTAAGGTGTTCAGGGAAACAGGGAATGCAAAATAGAGCACTTGATCGATAAGTATCTGATTGCCTAGTATGTGCAGACAGTGATAGGAGCCAGAAACAGATGAGCCACCTGTGAGCCCAGCGCTAATAGCCCCTCCACATGTGTGCATAGTGTGCTTTCACCCCTGTGCAGCTGACTACCAAATAAAACAAAACTGATCACAGTCATCCTAGATGTATACTACTTGGCATGGGCTCACAGAGGGAGGAGTAGGGAAGACTAAGAATGTTTCGAAGGAGAGATGCTAATTGTGTCATTTCCTTGACATGAGTGTCGGGGGGGAGGGGCTTTTGTTTATTCCTCTCTCCCAGCCCTGATCTCACGGGCCACAGGGTGAGGTGGCTTGAAGAGAGCGCAGAAACCTAACCACTAGATCACCAGGGCCAGCAGGCTTGAAACAGGACCTCAGTCCTTGTCTTCTCTGAAGAAAGAATTCAGCACAGAGACAAAAGGTAGTGAAGCAGGTAAAGCATTGATTAGAAGAAAAGTATGTGCAGAAAGACATGCAGGCAGGCTCAGAGGGAGAGTCACGCTTTGGGAGTAGCAGGAATTACTTATATGGGGGCAGTTTTATGGGTTCCTTCTGCCCAGTCATCTTGCTTTGTCTTGCTTCATGCCCAAACTGGGTCTGACTCAGGGCCCTCCCAACGTGCCTGCACATCTTTTAGCCAAGATGGATTCCAGTGCGAGGGTCTCTGGGAGGCTGGCAGGACATATTATGGGTTAGCGACCCCTCCCTTTTTGTTTTTTGTTTTTTGTTTTTTTGGCTGCACCACACAGCATGTGGGATCTTAGTTCCCCAACCAGGGATTGAACCCGTGCCCCCCTGCAGTGGAAGCGTGGAGCCCTAACCACTGGACTACCAGGGAATTCCCACCCCCTTCCTTTTTTGACCCTGAGGAAACTTTCTGCACATGTGTAGTCAGGGAAGTCTCCTTGACCTCAAGAGTGAAGAATGTGGTTGTCTTATCTTTTTACTCAAGCAGAGCTCAGCTCCTCTCTGCTACTGTCTTTTTTTTTTTTTTTTTGGCTGTATTGGGTCTTTGTTGCCGCGTGCGGGCTTTCTCTAGTTGTGGCGAGCAGAGGCTACTCTTCATTGTGGTGTATGGGATTCTCACTGCGGTGGCTTCTCTTGTTGTGGAACACGGGCTCTAGGCACGCGGGCTTCAGTAGTTGTGGCATGCGGGCTCAGTAGTTGTGTCGCGCAGGCTCCAGAGCGCAGGCTCAGTAGTTGTGGCGCACGGGCTTGTCTGCTGCAGGTGGGATCTTCCTGGACCAGGGCTCGAACCCGTGTCCCCTGCATTGGCAGGCGGATTCTCAACCACTGCACCACCAGGGAAGCCCCTCTGCTCCTGCCTTTATTTTACCTTGAAGCACCAGCATCTCAGCCTGGGGCCCAGCTATCTTCTATCTCCGCCTCATTCATTGCTGGGCAGGTCATGAGCCCTTGATGTGCTTTCTCATTGTATTCTCACGACTGACCTATGAAGGTGATAAAATTATTCTCATGTTTTACAGATAGGGAAATGGAATGGTTTATATATATGAATCTAAGAGTTTGGAATGGTTTATATATATGAATCTAAGAGCCTCTCTCCTTAAGTTCTAAAACATCCCATACTGAGATGATTCTTCTCTCCTGGCTCTCCAGGCCTCAGGCTGGTCTCCCTGCATCCTCCCTGGGCTTGGGTGAAATAAACTTGACATTCACTAACTTCAGCTTTAGCAATTTGGGGGTTATAATGGGCTGTCAGTTTTTTGGGGGGTGGATTTTTTTTTTTTCCATTAGCCTTTATTCATCATACTATGACAAGTTAGGTGGGGAGGTTCACTTGCTAATGTGCCTTTTTAAGGACCTTACCTCGTAGCAGAGAAAATTAAGTGCTGGAAAGAATGGCTCAACAGTTAGTCATATGCCGTGCTTTAATAGCATGGCCAGCCAATATGGAGAGGGGGGCGTGTGTGGAAAAAGGCAAGGTTAAGTGATTAATTTTTAAGCACTAAATATTTATTGACAGAATATCTCTCCAGGCAGTGTTCACATGCTTAGAACCCACGCTTTTAACTTGGCAGTGCTGTTTAAGCAAACAAACGCAGTCAGTTGAACACAATGATTAACAGGAAGTTGGAGCTGACACAGTTGCCAACCTTTTGGCCAGGAGAAGAGGCTGGGGTTAAAGTCTTAGAGCAATGCCTTTCAGAATAGTCAGTTCACCCCTTGGCGATTTTCCTGTAGGGTAACGTGGACACATTGGAGTCAAAACCTCCCTGAGGCAACTTGTTTTTTTGTAGAAACAGGTTGCAGGAAGGGGGCGTGGGGACTGAGCAAAGCAAATCCCAAAGAGTTAACTTCAGAAATGTGAGGAAGAAAGTGGAAATGCAATGCAGTGGCAAACGAGGAGAAAAGGAAGACAGAAAGAAAGGACAAGCATGCTCAACTGGAAGGTTACCGAACAGCCGATGAGAACTGCACCTACCAAAAGGATGGTTATGGATTCTGGAGAAAATGTAAGTTAAATCTACCTATGCTCTGATCAGATCCCAAGAGACATTTTACGCATTTCCTGGTTTTGAATGATGGGTTCTTGGAAGCAGTGTCTTTTTTGTGTGTCTCTGGTCACTGCTCTGATTTTTGTGTTTGTTTACAATCATGAGTTATGGGAGAATAAAAATTTCCCGGGAGCATCTCTGTCCAATGCTTCGCTATTAGCAGAAGCCTGTCGTCAGATTTTTAAGGGGAAGGTTTTTTACCCAACAGAGAATGCATTGAAAACTACCCTCAGTGAATCTACCTGTTATGAGTACATAGCTCAGAGTCACTACATAACAGAAGCACTCTCTGAAGAAGAGGCTGGCTTCCCTTTGGCTTACATGATGACCATCCACAAAGATTTTGGCACTTTTGAGAGACTCTTCAGGGCAATTTACATGCCCCAAAATGTCTACTGTGTTCATGTGGATAAAAAGGCAACAGATACATTTAAAGATGCAGTGAAGCAATTACTGAGCTGCTTCCCAAATGCTTTTCTGGCTTCCAAGATGGAGCCCGTGGTCTACGGTGGGATTTCCAGGCTCCAGGCTGACCTGCACTGCATCAAAGATCTTGCAGGCTCTGAGGTTCCGTGGAAATATGCCATCAACACCTGTGGGCAAGATTTCCCCCTGAAAACCAACAGGGAGATAGTTCAGTATCTGAAAGGATTTAAAGGGAAAAACATCACCCCAGGGGTGCTGCCTCCCGATCATGCTATTGGACGGACTAAATATGTCCACCAAGAACTACTGAGCAAAAGAAATTCCTACATGATTAAAACCGCGAAATTGAAAACTCCACCTCCTCACAACATGACTATTTACTTTGGCACTGCCTATGTGGCCCTCACGAGGGAATTTGCTAATTTTGTCCTCCAAGACCAACAGGCACTTGACTTCCTGTCCTGGTCCAAGGACACCTACAGTCCTGATGAACATTTCTGGGTCACACTCAATAGGATTCCTGGTATGTATGTCTCTTAACTTTTGTTTTTATGAATAAACATTGCGTGGCCAATACTGAATGAACCACTGAAAAATAGTAAAACAAAAAATTAAAAATTTTAAAGATCTTTACAGTTTCAACTATTCATTAAAAAAGTCTTTACAGCAGCTCTGCTCACAGAGTGGGTGATATAACTCATCTCCATTTTACAGATGAAGAAACTGAGGCATAGTGATTAGGGCAGAGGTAGAGACCGACTGTTTGACTTGATTTTGCTGACATACCAAGCTACCTTTCTGAGCCCATAGACCCACTTCGAATATGTGCTGTAGTCTTGACACATGGCAAGGAACTGAGGAACACTGACTGGCGAATGAAAGATTAAACACAATTCTCCTTTAAATGTGATGGTATTTAAAATCAGGCATAAATATGATAAATTAAATTTGAGCAGCAATTTGAACACTTAAATAATACCTTTGCCCCTATTGAAGCTCCAGTAGCTAAATTCAGATCATTTCAAAATGAGAGCAAGATACAACTTTAACAATTTTCATTTGCAAGTTCTTTCCTGGAACTGAGTCTGAAATTTAGAGCCTCTTAAAGATTCCTAGACCAGTGCCTTTATTTTATAGACAATGAAACCAGTGTGGTTATATGATGTGCTCAAAGTACCCTGCTAGTAAGCAAACATGCCAATTATAAACCAGGTTGCCTAAGCCTGATGTTCTTTTAAGGTGATTTTCAGTTCGGTCTCAGTTGTTCCTAAACTAACTCCACATTTCCTTGGTCCAAGTTCCAAATGACTTGAATAATCTCCAGTTGTTTACAGTGAACTAATTCAGTTCTGCTAGTTCAATTTGAAATAAAAATTCAGATTCACAGTTCAAAGGAAAACTAACTTGAATCAACATGAGCATCAAGGTCATGGTTTCTTGAGATTTAGTGGTTCAACCCTGGATACATATTACAGTCGCCTGGAGCTTTTAAAAATACATTTCCTGATTTCCTGGGTAGATGTGGACTTCAGTATTTGTTCAGCCTCCAGGAAATTCTCAGGAACAGCCAGGGATGTGAACCATCGTGGATGCTTGTTTTTGATGTTTGTATACAAAGCTTCCTAGACTTAGAATGCTTTTTTTTTTTTCCCCCTTGGTAATACTTGGCAAAATTGTGAAAACAGAAGAATCCACTGGGGAAAAAGTAGTTGCAAAAGAAACAACATACAGCCAGGTTAATATCTGTAACACATAAATACATCTCACAAATAGGAAAAAGAAACACATCAGATTAACTATGACATGTAGAAATACATATGCTAAACAATCATATACAAATGCTCACCACCAGTACAAATTAAAATAAATGATTACAATTCTTTACTTCTCAAATTGGTGTTAAAAAAACAACACCTAACTCCAGGATGGGCAACGAGTGTTCCGATACAGACCACTAGAAAAGTATAAACCTGCACAGTCTTTCTGAAGGACAATTTGGCACCTATATATCAAACGGCTTTGAAAATGTTCATATCCTTTTACTTAATTTTACTCCTAGGGATTTATTCTTAAAAAATAAACAGAGATAGGGAAAAGATTAATTTAAAACTATTTTCATCATAGTGTCACTTATAATAGCAAAAAAAGAAAAATATTCTAAAATCCTAGTAATAGAGGACTGGTGCAGGCATAAAATCAAAGGAAATACAGCTACTTAGAAGGCAGCTATGATAGAATGCTTTTTAAATCTGTGGTTTTCCCAAAGCGGGAAGGGGTAATGTCCTAGTGATGAAAGAAATCAGGACAGGACTTCCCTGGTGGCTCAGTGGTTAAGAATCTGCCTGCCAATGTAGGGGACACGGGTTCGAGCCCTGGTCTGGGAGGATCCCACATGCTGCGGAGCAACTACACCCGTGCACCACAACTACTAAGCCTGCGCCCTAGAGCCCTCGAGCCACAACTACTGAAGCCCACGTGCCTAGAGCCAGTGCTCCGCCATAAAAGAAGCCACCGCAATGAGAAGTCCGCGCACCGCAAGGAAGAGTAGACCCCGCTCATCGCAACTAGAGAAAGCCCGTGCACAGCAACGAAGACCCAATGCAGCCAAAAATAAATAAATTTAAAATAAATAAATATAATTTTTAAAAAAGAAATCAGGACAAGGACCTACTGTATAGCACAGGGAACTATACCCAATATCTTGTGATAACCTATAATGGAAAAGTATCGGAAAAAAAGGTATATATATATGTGTATATATATATGAATCACTTTGCTGTACACTTGAAACTAACACGACATTGTAAATCAACTATACTTCAACAAAAATTTTTATGACTTTTTTAATTAAAAAAATAAAATGACTTCTTTTGGCAGAGATCATGGTCAAAAAAGAAATCAGGGCTCAAGAAATTGAAGTGGGGAGTCATGACCATTAAGCTGTTTATATGGGATTGTAGTACCCAGAATAAGGGAGGTAAAAGGCCCTCTTCTCACTTTTGTGTTGCTTGGACCAAATATGTATTGACCATTCAGGTCTGGGCTCCAGCCTGTGAGGGGAGACATTGACAAAGCAGATTCCAAAGAGAGTAGCCAAGAAGGTTAAAAGGCCAGACCCCATTTTTCAAAGAAGGGACCAAGACAAACAAAAAGGATATTCAATCTGCAAAAGACTTGAAAAGGGATCACTGCCTTCACATAATTAAAACGTTTGCCCAGGAGACAGAAATTGAACCCATGCTGTAGTTTTGGAAGAAGAATCCAGGGTCAGTGGTGGGAGATAAAAGAACCCACGGATCTGGGATTAGAATGGGTAGCTTCCTCAGTGGTGAACAAACTCAAGGGATATTCCGAAGCAGAGACTGAAAAAACCCTGTCAAGGAACTCAATTATCAAGTGTCGGACAAGATGGCCTGTGAGTCTCTTCCACTCTGAAGTTCGTGATACTAACTAATGATTCTGATCAATTTATTGAACAGAAGTGTTGAGTTCTCAACATGATTTCTCTATTGCAACTAGATTTTTACACCTCTGGTAAATACCAGCAATTACAGATCAGTGAAACAATGGAAAACAAATGGACTGCTCCATGCATTTCATAAACTTAAAAGAGTGAGCCCTTAAAATTGTTTCTGTGTTATGGGTATGGGATCCTCGTTAGAGGTCTGTGGCCCTTCACTGGTCCAGCCAACTCTTGCAGGACCTGAGGTAGGCCTGAGTGTATGGCTTAGTCATGAGGAGGTAAGGGAATCAGAAACTTAGGTAGCTGTCTTGTTTAACTGTTCCTCCTGCTATGTGAAAATCTGGGTCATTTCTGCTTTGAGGGTCATTCTTTGCTGATGCATGAGTATGTTTGTTGTTTGTTCTGGACATTTTAAGATTGTTCTAGTTGATTGCATTGATTGGGGCTTATTAGGATTCTCTAAGGAGTAATAGGACAGAAGAAAAAAGATCTCGCAGTTGAAACGGCCTCATGGGGAACTAGAACACCACCTGATAGAAATACTGTGTGAGCCACATGTGTAGTTTTAGGTCTTTTGTGGCTACATTAAAGAAACAAAAATTAATAGGTCAGATGAATTTAAATCATGTATTTTATTTAACCCAATATACCCCAAATATCAGTTGTGCCCGTGGCTACTGTAGTGGACAGAGCAGGCAGCCAGGTGTCCTCCCTGCTCTGGGGAGAATGGTCAGCCAGCAGTGGTGCCGTCCGAGAGCCACACAGAGAAATCGGCCGTGCTCATGTGTCAGCATCTTCATTCTGCTTCTTTTTACTTATATGAAAGTCTTACCTCTGCTTCAGAGTTTTCACTTGCTTGTGGGCCCCGCGGCTTCTACTTTCAATGCCTTCCCCTCGTGTCTCCAGCCAGATTCTGGGCTGTTCCACTGATGGCAATTCCTCTGTCTCCTTCAGATATTTATTCCCAGAGAGGCTTGCTGTGGGTCGTGTTGTGACTGTACAACGAGCATCCCTTTTCTCATTCCAGGCCACTTCCTGGGCTGTGGCTGACCTCTGTGTAGACACGCTGCCCTGCATTGAGGCCCCAGACCATTCGGGTCAGGTGTGGCCAGGGTGGCAGTGTCAAAACGCACAAAACATGGTCTCCTCATACATAGTAAGGCCCTTCGGCCATGACAGGTCCTCTGGAAGCCTCTTGGAAGATGAAAATTCCTGGGTGGTCCACTCAAGCGAAGGGGCCCATGAGGACAGAAGTGTTATACCAGGAGAGTTCACAGGGGCCTTGGAAGATACTGCCCAGCAGACTTCACCAGCTGTTGTGAAGTGAGGGTTCCTGCCCTCCCCACTTCTCCCTCCGTCTTTCCCCCACTTTCCCCCCAACTCTCTCCTCCCCAGTTCCATTCGTTAATCCCGTCTGTAACAAGATGGCCACATTTTAGTTTCTCATCTGACTCAGCTGTGGCTGACTTCCAACTGGAGAAAAGATCCTTTTACCAGCCAGACATTCAAGTTCACTGCCTCCTACTTCCCTTATGAGTAATGCATCATGTGCCCCTCCAGGCTGCATGGCTCTGCCTGTGACAGGGGCTTTCAGTGGGCATGCTTCATTCATCATGTGGTCCGTGGATTTAAAGATTTCAAAACTGACCAGTGGTTTCTGCCCCACTTGCTACAAAGGAATATTTCTGATATGATTCAGTGGGAGCTTATTTCAAATTCATATTAATGAATGAATGAGAAAAGAGCCTTTCCTCCTTTCTCATTCTGAAAAAATCTCAGAAAAAAAAAATCTGAGAGCAGGTTTTGTTGGAGATGGGAGAAAAAAGGAATGCCAAGATATCTGACGGGGAAGGAACAGAGAAAAGAAGAAAATTGGAGATCGTGGGCTTGGAAGACAGATTCTACTTGCTTCTCATTTTTTTCCCCCAGGAACCAGACTATGGACCAGCCCTTCTGGAATTCTCTGTCTTGTATGTACCCATGTGCCCTTGAAAGGGGAGGCTTGTTGAGTCTCTGCTATAGAGTCCATACTGACCGGACTCTCTGTCATTATTGGAGGCTGGCTAGTTGCTTTAGT